AACAAGTCACAGAATCACCTTGTTCTCTGACAGTAGGAGAATACCAAGCTTAAGTCCGACACCAACTTATCCCCCCCATGCCCACTAACCAATGTTCCTCAGTGCTAAAACTCCACATTTCTTGAACATCTCCAGGGACAGTGACTCCACCACCTCCTTGGGCAGCCTATTCCAATGCATTACCACTGTGCTGCAGGACTTCTAATCTCCAAGATATCCATTGTCACCCCATGAAGCCAATGAGTATCATCCCGTAGGCGTTTGAAATTAAACATCAGTCTGTGTCAGTGGAAAATCATGCAGGAAAGCCTTCACCTGACCCTGCACACAACTTTCTTCCAGGATAATGAATGACAACATAGCCAATTAGAAGCTGTTTGTCAAAACTGTCCCCAAGGAGCTGGCCCATCAAGGACAATGTATTCATCAGTAGCTTCATGCAGGTCATGCTAAGCCCAAGGGTCAACCAGATGTGGTTGGGAGCCCATCTTCTCCCACGGTTGCACCCTTTATGCAGAAGCAAATGGATTAGGATATGCTGGGACCTTTGGTGACAAGAGGAGTGAAAGCCACTTGTGTAAGCCAGTCCCTGAATCAAGACTGCCATTCATTCACCATTTCTGCCTCTGACTCATTGTCTGGCCTTGAGAATGTCATTGAATCTTTCTCTGCCTCAGGATCTGCATAAAAAATAATGATGTTGTACTGGAAAAGACCTATCAAACGTCATTCTAACGTGCCTCTTTCAAATCCTTCATTAGAAAAAAAAATTCTATAGGGGGCAGAGTTTCTGAATCAGTTGTTAAGCCTTTGCCAGTGTCTCAGTGCGTTGGACTAAATCTCAACCCAACGATGTTGGAATCTCAACGATGCCACATTTTGATCAGAATTTGAGAACAGAAGTTATTTAGAAAAGTATTCTTATTTATTCCAGTGGCATCTTCAAGCTCTGGTGATGAGTTATCTAATTAGTTATTTTGCTATTTGCAAAGAGCCAGATAATACATCACACTTTCCAGCTAAAAAACTTTCGTTTCGCATCTTCTCTCCTTCTTAATCAACTTCTGAGTCATTCCTTAGTTTTTTATCCAGAAATCCAAAACATATTTACAGTTTTTCAAGCTTTCCAGTCAGCAGGAAAAGGGCAGGAGGGCTTGTTGGCAGCTCTGTTTGCAAGAGCGAGCTTCCTAAAAAAGCTCCTGGTGTCATTTCAGGTATACCAGCTGAAGTTACAGCATGACAGAGCTGTGCACTTATGATCTTTCCTTCTATCTAGGCATGTATCCTGAGGATGAATGGAACCTGCTTTATGTTGCAGTGACACGAGCAAAGAAATGCTTGTTAATGTCACAGTCCCTGGAGCACCTTTTGGCATTGGCAGGGGTAAGTGAAATTCTTCCAAAGTGTGCAAAACCTGGAGCAGGGCAACGTGGGGTTCTGATAGCTGCACTTTGTGGCACGTTGCTCCAAAGCAAACCCATCAATTTGGCTGAGCAGCACTGCCTGATGTGTAACAGAGCAGGCATCTCATCCATCCTCCCTGCAGAGAACAGGGACTCCTCAATCAGGTTGCTCGGAGCCTTCTCCAACTTGACCTCGAGTGTCTGCAAGGACATTTGGAGGGTCTTTTGTGATGGAGGAACTTAAAATAGGATTATAGTGAGATCACCCTGAGATTCATGCTGAGGGTGGACTGCGACCTCCTCAATAGCTGAGAACACTGTGCACAATTCCCACTGCTCTGCACTGTGCTTTCAGTAGCAAGACAAACAGTTCCAGTGGTGCAGTGTTTTTCCCCAATCCTTTTTGGACGTTGCCTTCATAGCCTCCCTCCTTATCTCAGAGCAAGGTTCCCTTTTCTGTTGCAGTGCCTTACTTTGCTTCCTTCCTTACCAGCTGCCATTGAGTTCTGCTTGGTCACTAGGCACTTTTTGGCAGTATTTTTATAAGCACGCCCTGTTGCAAGTGATTTCCCAGGGCACTCAAAAAAAAACCCAACAAAATTAACTCCAAAAAATCAACTGTTGCCATATCTCAGCTCCCTGTGAGTGTTATTTTATTGTTGTTCTGCTTTTCTTGTCTTCTAGGAGCACTTCCTTCGAGTGGAGCTGATGGGTGAGGCTGTGAAGACCGGGGTTGCTTGTTCTGCACAACAGTGTACACAGACCTTGCAATCTGGCACCAGGCTGGTTGTGAAGAAGCTGCCTCTGATTCATGTATGTCCCCTCCAAACACTGCTTCTTTTTCTTGAGCAAGCAAGCCATGAAGACCTATAAGATCATAGTTTTCAATCACGAGACTTCACAGGGTGATCTTGCCATGGGATGGCTGGCATCATGCTGAGCTATCTCGTGGGGAAGGGACAACTTCAGTGCTAAGTTTCTGTGGAAGTGAGCAAGGAGTGTCCTGTGGCTCAGCCCTTAATTTCTGACCTCTTGAATACATGATTTTGGGATAGTGGTGCAGTTCCTACAGAGTCACTCTGGTCTTGACCTCTCTCATGAGACTGTGGTCTCAAGTGGAGGCGTTTTGGGGCTTTTTCTTGTTTCATACCCCAGTTTGTCTTGGGGCATCTGCCTCACTCTGCATAGGCCATCAAACATCCACCTAGAGATGAACAGAGCGTGCTTTGTCCCTGCCAGGAGCTGTGTGTGAACTAGCAAGAGGCTGACAATCTGATTTTTGGGTCCAGTTTTGGCTTGAGTTCCACCTTATGGCTTTGGGGTTGATCTTCACTCAGAAAGTGCAGTCACGTAGCACATGGTAAATCCAGTGGGTCTCCATGTCTGGGATAGGAGATAAGAGATGGCTCTGATCCACCAGCAGGGAATATAGGCAGCGATAAGAGCAGGATTCACTCCCTATCATTGCAAAGAGCCATGCACATGTATGAGAGGAAATATCGACTGCCTGGCCATGCATCCTCTTCCTCTCTAGAGAAAGCCTGTGTGGAGATATTTGCTTGCAGCTATTAAGCAAACTGTCCCACAGTGGATTCCTTTGCATGGGAGGTGGTAGGAGATACTTTGGGCACAACATTGCACTCTTATCTGATCCAGTAGGTTGAGCCCAGGGCTGGGAGCAGGAGGCTGCATTCCTCCAGCCTCACTTTTTTCTCAAATCTTTTTCCCCCACAGAGCAACGGCAGCAGGAATATGGGTGGCTACCTTTGCTATTCCTGTGTGCAGAAGCGTTTTGGCACTATGACACCCCTGGCCTTCCTCCCAGCACTTTATGAAGAGCCCATCGTGCTCTAACGAAGCCTTGCAAGTCTCAGAGCCATTGCCTCATCCCAGAGCTGTACTGAGTGCAGGATGACAACTGCTGTCACATCCATGACTCCAAAATCAGGTTGGATTCTTGGGACCAGCTCCAAGAGGAACCATCCAGGTTGTCTATACGGAGTGGTGAGACCTTTTCTCAAGCCCTGCAGGAGCTGGTCAGCGTGACCTGCATCACTGCACAGAAGAATATGCACAGCACAGTCTATTGGACAGGACAGCTTTTTTATTTTATTTTATTTTTTTTGAGCACTACTCATCCATCCTCTCCATCTCCAGGAAAATTCTTTCAGTGACAAAGCTGCTGGGGTTTCCCTGCCTTTTCTACCACTTTGTGTCTCAGGGAAATCCTCATCCAACAAAAGAGGAGCTTGATGCTGGGAAGTACCCAGAAAAACGTGTTGTTCCTAGAAAATGAACTTTTTCCCAGAGCCTGTTTCAACTGGGACATTTTCACTGTCAGTTCTGGATCACTGGGGAAGAAGGAAGTCATAATCTCTCCCAGCTGAATTTAAGTCATTTGCTTTACTTGCAGCCAAGAAGTTTCTTCGGGCTTAATTTCTCTTTGTAGCAAAGCACTGAGGGAAGAGAGGCAGCATTTGAAGAACTGCTTCAATTTAATTCCAGTCTAACACAGCTGATCAGAAAGAAGCCAGAGAACATTTTTAATACAGAGATAAAGTTTGTGGCAAAAAAACCCCAACTGCTTTAATGATTTGTTTTTTCCTCACCCATTAATAAGTCTTCCTGGGTTATATTTATTTTTCAGCCATCACAATAGCAATGGTACCAGCAGGATGGTGACCCTGTCAATCAGAGGGTGGCTTATGCTGCCTGCCTGAAGATAACACCTTGGCTTGTTGTCCCAGAGGCCACATCATACACAGATCAAAACTGAAACCAGTTTAGGTAGAGGCGTGATCTTGGCCTTCAGCCTGGAGCCATGAGCAATGTTTGTTGAAGACTTCCACGTCCTGTTGACTTCCACTGTTATTTGTGGAATGGCAGCTATTTTGTTGGCTCTCCTTTTGCTTTTGAAGCAGTGACTCCGGGAAGACTTTCTGCTTATCAAAACTGCAGGTAACTTTGCTCAAAACTTGAAAGTTTGAATACAACTGCAAAGCTCTTGCAGACACAGGACCATAGACCCCCAGCATTCCCTTCCATCTCTTTTCCAACCATCCCATGGCATTTGGGGCTTGTAGGAAACCTTGGTTTATCATGTGTCTTCACAGAAAAGTGACAGTCCAAAGCAGTGAAACAAACACGAGGACAAGTGAGGAAAGAACACATTGGGTTGGCTTTCCAGCTGGCTGATGAAGCCCTTTTTGCCTTCCACCTGAGCCAGATGGGTGATGATCCCCCACTTTGCCTTCACCCTTTGCCTCTAGAGGATGGCAGTGCTCATTTAGAGTTTTCAGTGGGTTGCTGCAGCTGCAGCTCTGTATTCAACCATGAGCCACCCATCCTCGTTGTTCAAAGCCAACTTCTACCCATGCAGAGTTTTGGTGTTCACTATACCCATCAGTGAGGAGCTGCAGTCATGGAATGTCTCCTTTCCTCTGGTTCAGTCCTACCTGGAAGACCACCAGCAAGCCCTGGCTGTTACAGGGATGCATTTCACTCCAAACCAGCTCCTGTCTGTCCCAGCATTCCCACTATCCTCCCCATCATTGTGGCTGGCAAGACACCCAACTAAAGAATCAGCCACTCTGTGCGTATTTTTACATTATAATATATACCCTTTATGTATAAAACATCAGTACAAAACCTCCAGTTTGTAGCAAGGGGGGAGGGAAATTAGTGGATAACAACAGATATCATTGCCATGTCCTTGTCTTCAGGCTTTGGTAGTGCTTGTAGCAAATCACTCCCATGTGCAGTCCCCTGCGAGCAGCTGGCATCAGTGCTGAAATTGCCCCCAAAGATCCCTGAGTGTGGACGAGGGGATGACCTCTGAACTGGTGATAGAGCTGAAGCCCTTTGCTGTGGTTGTTGGTTCATGACTGAATGGCTGGAAGAGAGCAGGGAGGGAGTCAAGGTACAATGAGGGGATACTCACCCGGCTCTCTGTTGACCCTAAGCAGTGCTGCTTTCTGTGTTTGGGGGGCACTTTGGGGTTAAAGCACCTCTAAGGATGGGGCTGGTGTCCAGCAGGCCTTGCTCCTAGCCAGGGAATGGTTTTACTTACACAGCCTGCCTTCAGCCCCAGCACCCAAACTTCATCCTCCGTCCCACAAATGTCCTTTACTAGGGCAAGCAGCCTGGACCACATTGACCATGGCCTCCCAATCTGCAAGAGGATGGGCACCATCTATGGGCTCAGGCCACCCATGGGTGCCGTATTAATGGCCTTGCTCTGTCCCTTGCATCCCAGATTGGTAACTTTTCCAGCCCTGCTTTGTGCTTGGGTGCTTAGCCTAATTTTGGCTCCCATTTAGGATTTGCATTGAGTTCACGCCAACTTGAGTTGCTCGTTGAGCCAAACAATAGGATAACCACTCACCTCTTGGCACTGGAGTGATCCCATCCACTTGTTCAGGCTGAGAAGAGCAGCTACATGTCCCTGGAGTGAAGATGCTCCGTTCGAAGGCCAGCTGGGGATGTGGGGACATGCCTCATGCCACTGCCACTTGGGGAAGCACCGAGCTTCGAGCATCCTCCTGGCTAGCCGGGCTGGTAGGTACACCAACGTGCTCTGTGCTGGTGCTCAGCCCATGGGGATGTCACCAGGTGGCAATATCTCATCGTTCTCTGCTGTGGTATTGGGAGCCACCATGGGGATGGCCGTCACCGCCACCACGTAGCTCTGCTGCGCGTGCCTAGAGATGGGAGAGAAGTGTCAGCAGTGCCCACAGGGTCTTTCACAGCTTTCAGGAAAGCAGTGGGTCTTGTGGATGGGCAACACGGTGCTCAACAAACCTACATTTTCATCCTCCAGTAGCAGAATCCTGCAACACCAACAACAAGCAGAATTGAGACCCCTAAAGGAGAAACAAGGCAGATGATGAGCATCTTCCAATGGTTGGCCAAGGGAACAGCTCCACAAACAGTCAAAACTACACTACAACAACTCTTACAGTGCATTTTCAAGGTATCCTCTTTGCCAAGGGAAGAAATCAGGGTGCTGCATGCTGCCCCTCTTGGAAACATTGCCCTCAATTATGGCATAAACCTCACACAGCCCTTGTTGGTTTTTTTTTAGGGTAAAAAAAAAACCAAAGCAGCTTGTTCTTACCATCAACCCAGCAATGCTTACCGATGGAAGAGACCACAGTCTGGGTGGAAACTGGCAAAAAAAAAAAAAAGTAGAGATTTCAGCTGCAGAGCTAGGGAAGCCTGAGAAATGAGAACTATCAGGGAGGATCTTATTTAAAAGGTTGGTGAGAAGGGAAAAATTGTATTGAAAAAGAGAAAGGGCCCTTGGCTGTGGAAACACAGTGGGTTATCTGCTCACGTGTAGCATGGTCTATGGGGATGGTGGGCAGTGGGGTTGTCCCCAGTGCTGTCCCCTCTCCTGGTGTAGGCATCTCTGGTGGTTCAGGCACTGCTGGTGGCACAGATGTCTCTGGTGATGGCACAGGCAGTGCTGCTGAAGTGGTGTTGGTTCCTGCAGGGCGAAATGTTGCAAAACCATTTAATTTAGGGCACTGGTCACTATGCAGTGTTTTAATTTGGACGTGGCAAGGGTTGATGCATCTCAATCACTTTGAAATGGGATAATTCCCTGTAGTCGAGAAGAGGGCAGATGTGGCAGTTAGGGACATGGTTTAGTGGGCACGGTGGGGTTGGGTTGGTTGTTGGGCCTGATGATGTTGGAGCCCTTTTTCCAAGCGCAATGATTCTGTGATTCTATTGAGGGACAGCTTAGTGGTCATGGTGGGGTTGGGTTGGAGATTGGACTCGATGATACTGCAGGTCTTTTCTAACCTTAATGGCTGTGATTCTATTCAGGGGCATGGCGTAGTGGGCATGGTGGTGATGGGTTGATGGTCTGGATGATCTTAGAGGTGTTTTCCAACCTTAGTGATTCTACAGTTCTATGACTCTCTGATTCTATTTTGCTTCCCACACCGCAATAGTTGAGTTTTTGCCACATTCATCTCTTCCTCACCTCTTTGGCTTGTCCTCACTGTCGGGAGCTCAGGGCTTGGGGTTTGCAGAGGTAGAGCCGGATCCCCTTTGGGTAAACACAACAAAGACACCATCAGCAGCAGCAATACCACCCTTAGTCCTCCTTCAGCCCATCCCAATGCGTCCCATCTCTGGAGGCACGACCACTTACGAATGCACTGCAGCTCAGTGGATGTCCAGACAGGCTTGCCATGATGGAGGACGCACTGGATGAGGGTGGAGGTGCCAGCTTTGCGTTTGTAGCCCAGCTTGCAGGTGTAACGCAGGCTGGTGTGGAGCAGCTCCGTGTCGCCCGCGTCGATGATCGCATTGGCCACTTCCTTGGGACGGCCGCATCGCACCGCTGTGGATGGGACAAATGGAAAGGGAGATGACAACAGGAATGTCAGAGCTGCCTGGATTTTGAGTGGTCCCACGTGGAGCCAGGAGTTGGACTCCTCGTGGGTCCCTACTGGTTCTATGATTCTTTGGTTCTATGATGTGTGGGTTCTCAAGGAGCAGGAGTTGGGGCTGCAGTTGTGGCCATCCCATGGAGAGGGGAATGATAGGGGGAGGAGCTTCAATGGGGATAGAAGCTCAATAGGGATGAAAGCATGATGGTAATGAGGAAAGGAACATGATAGCAATAATGACAGGGATGGAAGCATGGCGGGGGCTGGAGACACTTTTGGGCATTCCCACCTGCTCCCAGACATTCTCCAACCCACCAGTATACAGCATCCCACCAACAGCAGCACCACGATGCTATGACATGGGCTGGCAATGGTGCCAAGGAGCAGACACTGAGCCAGGAGATGGGAGAAACCAAAGGATAAGGCCAGCTGCTGCCACATGAGTATCCCACACCCTTCCCAAAGGCAGGAAATCCCAGAATGCGTGAGATAAAACCACAGTTAGACAATGCAGAATCCCCTCTCTGGGAACTGATGCACAACCACCACTAGACACCATAGAATCCCAGATATGGGAATGCACAACGGCTGTTAAACATTGGAGAATCCCATCAGTGGAGACTCACAACCATTAGACACTGAAGAATCCCCTCTTTGGGGATGCATAGCCACAATTAGCCCACAGTGGTGCTTTCTGCCCCAAATCATGATCCTGATTGAATCACCACTGCTGGGAATGTCGTTTAAAGGGCAGGGCAGGAGCACAGTGCCTTTAGGGAATGCTCTTCTGTGCTTGATTTACTACAAAACATGCTCATTTTCCATCACATTGCAGATTTGGCAGCAAAAAAGAAGGAGCATTAAGCTATCCTAGAGATTTTTTGGCGGGCAGCTCTATTTCCTGCACTTCCACAAAAGTTTACCAAGCCTCATTGAAAGATCCGGGGCGTCTGTGTAGGAAACACACAGTGCAAAATCCCATTGTGGTACATGTCCTGGGGATTCATATGAGGAAATACCACTGAGATGAATCTCCTGGCAGTCCATATGATAAACGTGCAGCACAAAATCCCATTCAGATGCCTTTCCTGGATGTCTCTATGGGGAAATCCCATTGAGATGCATTTCCCGAGGGTCCTTATGGGTCCATCGTGTGGGTCAACAGTGCAGCATCCAGATCCTATGGGTCCTTATGGGATCATGGTGCAGCACCTGGATCCTGTGTGTCCTTATGGATTCATGGTGCAGCATCCAGACCCTATGGGTCCTTATGGGTCTGTGTGTGCAGCATCCAGATCCTATGGGTCCTTATGGGTCTGTGTGTGCAGCACTCAGATCCCATGGGTCCTTATAGGTTTGTGTGTGCAGCACTCAGATCCTATGGGTTCTAATGGGTCCGTGGTGCAGCACTGAGATCCTGAAATCACCCCCAGCTTCCACGGATGCTGCTGGGGGAGTGTTACAGGCACTCAGTGGGGGACAATTGAGGTACACTGTGGGCACCCCATGGACACCACGAGGGGATCCTGGTCATGAGTGGGTGCTGCGTGGGCACCAAGAGGGAAACCTGGAGTATCTGTGTGCAGCACAGCCACGCGGAGAGCCCTGTGATCCACCCCAGCGCGCAGCGTGTGTCCCCACTCCAATACCCACGAGTAAATCGCGAACACCCGTAGGAGCACGAGTGAGACGCGCGCACTCCCAGCAGCAAGCCGAGAGCCCTCGCACCGCTCTGCTTACCTCTGTCCGAGGCGCTATTGGGCAGAAACAGGGCGAGAGCAGCGCAGAGCAGCAGCAGCCGATCCATGGGCGGTGGTCTCGGGCCGGGCGGGGGGGCTCAGCGCTCCCCGAGCGGTTCCACGCCGACGCCCCTCCGCGATCCGCCGCCGCCGCCGCCGCCGGCCATGGCCTCGCTCTTTCTTCCCTCTTTCGCTTTCGGTTTCAGCACGGGGTGATCGGTGGGGACACGTCGACCAATAGGGAATGGAGAGGGATGGGGCTGGGGGAGGAGGGGAAGGAGGAGGATAGTGGGGGTGTGAGGGATGCGAACGGGATGCGGGACTCCAAAGAGGTGCGGTAGCCAAGTACCCAAAGAAGGACCCAAAGAGGGTCCCAAAAGGGCGAGGATGTAAAACTCGGGCGATGCAATACCCAAAGAGGGAATGTAATACTCGAAGTGGAGATGCTGTATCCAAAGTGGGGAGGATGCCAAACTCAAAGGATGCAGTACCCAAAAAGAGGATGTGACACCCAAAAGGGGGATGCAGTACTTGAGGAGGGACGCAGTACCCAAAGTGGAGAAAGATACAGTATCCAAAGAGGGATGCAATACTGGAGGGAGATGCATTACTCCCAGAGGATGCAATAGTGTGTTACGTGAGGAGGATGTGATATCCTAAGTGGGGATATAATAGAAAAAGAGAGAGAAGGGATGTCATTCTGATGGGAAATTCATTATAACCCACGTCATCAGGAATGTTGTTTGGAAGAGGGAAGAGTTTCACATTCACCTGGGACAAAAGACAGCATGAAGACCTCTAGCACAAGAAGTGAATGTCTTGCCTAAATCTAAAATCTAGACCAGGCAAGATGGGTTCAAATGGATTGAGGTATCAGGAGATGCATTACCTCAGAGGAAATGTAATACTGGGATGGATGGGATACCCAAGGAGGAGATGATGTAGTACCCAGGATGGAATGTGGTGGTTGGGGTGGAATGCAGTACCTGGGGTGGGACGCAGAACTTGGAGTAGGATGCAGTATCACTGTGATGCAGCATCTGGAGGGGATGCAGTTCTTAGTAGGGAACAATGAAGTCTTTAGCCTGGGGACGGGCTGCCCAATGGAGATGTGGTACTATGGGGCAATGCAGTCACTCCCCCCCCCCCTTGCTCCCCCCAGGTGCCCCTGGTTGGATCCAATGCTAAAAGCTTCTTTGTGCTCTGGTTGCGTAACTTTCACACCAAACTCTCAACAAAAACTCTCTTTTGTTGGGTTGCGTTGGGTCAGGGGGGTGAATTGCATTGGGTTGCATTGAGCTGGGCTGGATTGTGCTGGGTTGGGTTGGGTTGGGTGGAAGACCTCATGGATGCAGATATCAGAGGCCTTCAGTGCTGGAGTTTGCTGATGCCAAACTGGAAACGAAGCCATGATCCAAGGCCCTGGAAGATGCCTGTACAATAAATCCTCCCCAAACAACCTCGTGGCTCCATGCTCTGTGTGCCTCCAGGTCCTTTTCCATTGACCACAACTCATTCTGTCTTGATGGGTGAATACTGGTGAATAGCTTTACTACAGCCAAAGGGAAGGATATAACTTCCCATGTCCAACCAGAAATCCTTCATGGGAAGCAGTTAAATTATTACCATTCTATGACCTCTATGGTGGAACAGTACTGCGCTGGTAACCGTTTGATCAATCATTAAACCCTTCCAAACACATTTCACAAAGAGCAAGACTGGAAACGTTGAGAATTGGTTGTATGCAGCCAAGATTTGTTAGCAGAAATATTCAGGATCCTGCAGATCAAAGCGCTGCACCAATTGCATGCAAATTAAGTGAGATCTCACATTCCTAAAGCTCCATATTTAAAGGCACTCCACTGTGGATTGAACACAGTCTTCAATCTGTGAACTCTGGACAGGTGAGGATTTTTCATGAGTGTTACAAGGAACAATCAGTGGGTTAGAGTTCACCAGCAATAAACAGTTGAGGGCAACAACACCAGGATTTGGTATGGGAGGTCCCTGGGGTTTGAGAAGTTTCCACTCTTCTTCTTCAAGCACTCATTCAAAAAAAACCCTCAAAAGCACAATGTTTTTTCACTACTGATCCCAAAGGGATTTTTTGGCAATCCCTGTAAAAATAAACCATGTAGCTACGAAAATTTTATTGGATAATGTAAACAACACGTAAGTTTATGTTAGCAAAGCTGGAAAAATGTGTTTCTTGGGAATGCCTTATTTCCCATAGGAGGATTTTCTACAAAAATCAGAGCTATCAGGGGCCACAATTTTGGGCATCAACCCACTGAACCCTTCCATAAAGAAGCTCTTTGTGTGCTGAGCTCAGTGCATGGCATCAAAGGATCCTTCTCATTTTGCCCTACCCACCAGGACAATAATGTGACCTAGAGCATCCCTAACCATGGGATATGGAGATGACCTGGGACTGAGCTCGAATTTTGTATTTTCAAAGGCTTTCACCACCCCTACAAACATAAGGGCTGTCTTTCATAGCATCTGAAAAATAATTTTTGGGCTTTTTTGCCTTTGGGGGAGGATGGATATAAATAGCTGATGAGCTTTTGCCTCATCCAGTGACTCTATTGTATTTTGCAGCTGATGTTTGTTTGTTCCACCTTGGATGGAGGAAGATTGCACTGTTGACTACGACTCTTACGCTGAAGATTTTGGAGTAAGAAAAGCTGGATTCAGAACAGGACTTGTGTTGCATCCATGATTCCATGTCTTTGGAGGCACAATGCTTGTTCCAAGATGCAGAGCAGCAGACTTTTGTTTGGGTAAAAATATTCCACTGGGTGTATTTCCCAGCTAAAATCAACCCAAATTGTTGTTTACGAAGGGACAATAAATCTGTTCTTGCTGTTTTTGGGGTGTTCATCCAGGAACTATTTCATTTCTTAAGAATGTTGAGCTGCGTGTTCCTGCACTAAGTGCGTATCACCAGTGGGGATGTGAGATCATCTTTAAGCATTACTACCTCTGAGGAATATTTGAGGTCATTAATGGGGAATAGCTGGGTGGATGGCTTATCCAGAAGTACTAAGTACCAAAGATTTCTAGAAACCATTTGTACAGATCAGATTGGCACACCAGGCTCATTTCCCATCAAACTGATTTAATTTTATCTTATCTCATTGCAGCATATGGCCTCTCTCTCCCAAAGCAGTGACACCTGAAAAGAAATTACAGTAAGCCATTTCAAATACATATATTACATTATTTCCTTATCAAGGAAGTAATTACAATGTTTATAATCTTGCCATATGGCACGACAGTACTACTGAGCCTCTCTAATGGAAGAAGGAGCTGATTTTCTGGTGCCACGATGGCAATTAGTCACGCTGTGGTTACACCCAATTAAGGCTGCAAATGTTTAATGCAAGCGTGGGGTTTGGAGGGGCAGAAGTCAGTGTGACCCACAGCTGTGAGATGGTGCTAAATGGAGTTGACCTGACGGCTCTTCCACCCAGGTGTGTATAAATGCAAAATACCTTATGCTATGGGTGCTACAAGTGAGTTAATGAGCTAAATTTGATGATGATGATGGAGAAGAAGGGAAGGAGGGTGGTTGTACTGCTGCTGCTGCTGATGATGATGATGAAGAAGAAGAAAAAAAGAAGAAAAGGAGGAAGAGGGTGATGATGAAGATGATGATGATGAAGAGGAGAAGGGGGGGTGGCATTAATGGTGATGAAGATGATGGAGAAGAAAAGGAGGATGGTGATGGTAGTGATGATGAAGATGATGAGTATGAAGGAAGGGAAGAGAAGGAGGAGAGTGGTTGTGACTGTGATGATGAAGGAGGATAGAGAGGAAGAAAAGGAGGACTGTGGTGGTGATGAGGAGGAGGAAGAGGAAGGTGATGGTTATGATGGTGATGTGGGGGAGTAAGAGGAGCAGAAAGAGCAAAAGAAAAATGGAGCTGATGAGGAGGAGCTGAAGGATGGTGACGGTGGTGGCAGAGATGAGGAGGAAGAGGAGAACGGTGGAATCATAGAAGCACGTTGAGGAGGAGGAGAAAGAAGGAGGAAAAGGAGAAAGAAGAAGCCAACAATGATGACAACACAGTGTTTAGCACCGGAGAAAGACCGTTTTCTGCTAGGAACTAAAATACACCGCATGAAACCCACAGTCATTTGCTATAGGATTTATGCATTTATGTTGATTCCTCTTAACAACTTGACATTTCTGGCTGAATGTTGGCAGAATTCACATAAAAGGCTTTCACTGCCCAGAGGAATACCCCAACAGAGCCAAGCAGAAGGGTGTGAGCCTCTTACATTGCAGGAAAGCATCCTACCTTTCCCAAGGCTGCTCCTGAGCTGGATGAGAGGAATTGCTCCATGTTGGAGTTCAGCATGACTTTACCATCGAGGAATCCAGGAGATGAGGAAGACCTGGGGCTGCATGGCTCAGTGGGGATCTCCGCTGTGATTTTTTGGAAATTCACTTTTGTTTCCAATTTCCCAACTTAGACTGGGAAAGTACCAGCGAGACCACAAACGGCGTTTGTATCTCAGAGTACTTTGGGTTTTATCCTCTGGGATTCCTGGAATTCTCTGTTTCTGAGGTTATTATAAGTGTCACAACCTCTTCTCAAAGAAAACACATGTTTTGGTCACAAGACTTGAGTTTGTGCCGCTACGCCACAACCCTGGGAGGAATTCACGATTTACAACGGAACAACCAACCACAATCCCATTGAATTGTCTGAGTCTGGATGATCTGATTGGTCTTTCCAGCTTTTATGACTCTATGGTGAAAGATAAGGCTGTAACACTTCAGCTGGAGGCTTGCACAAGCTCCATAAGCTGTCAAAAGAAAGAGCTCCTTACAGAGCCGGAGCTTGTGGAACACTCCGATTTTGCTATTTAGACATGGTTACTCAACACCCTATTTTTGGAGCTCAGACTTTAATCCAACTATTACATTTCATTTCTCAGGTGTATTTTTAGTCTTTCTGCATCGTGCCATCCAGGATTAAGCAAATGTCAGTGCTCCTCAAAACTAGTGAGCAGCCACAACCTCATGGGTTGTGTTCTGTGTGTAACGTGATATACAAGTATTGCTATGTGAG